CAAAGAGCTTTCAAAATTAAAAGTATACAACAAGTGATAATGCCATGTATTCGCCATATCAAAGCCCAATACACATTTATACACCGGCTACGTAAATCTGCTAAGTTACAAAACATGAATCGACAGTTGTCGGATTGTACATCAATGACAAAATGTGTCTAGGCCCTCATTCTTGACTACAACTACTGCCCCCAGAGCCGCTCTCCGACGCCAATGCGTTGGAGCTTCCTGCTTGTTTTAATATTGGGAGGTTTTTTTAAACACAAATTACAGAAGAAAGTCAAAGAAATGTATATTCAATCATTTTAAGTCAAAGAAATGTATATTCGTGAAAAATTGACCGCACTATATGACTTTTTTTTATTATTTTTTAATATTGGGAGGTTTTTTTAAACACAAATTACAGAAGAAAGTCAAAGAAATGTATATTCAATCATTTTAAGTCAAAGAAATGTATATTCGTGAAAAATTGACCGCACAATATGACTTTTTTTTATTATTTTTTAATATTGGGAGGTTTTTTCAAACACAAATTACAGAAGAAAGTCAAAGAAATGTATATTCAATCATTTCAAGTCAAAGAAATGTATATTCGTGAAAAATTGACCGCACTATATGACTTTTTTATTATATTTTAATATTAGGAGGTTTTTTTAAACACAAATTACAAAAGATGTTACTGTTTCTTCAGATGGACGTGGGGAGCGTGCCCCCTCCAATAGCCCGAAAAAAGAGGGGAAAAAGGGAGGAAAGAAAGAAGGAAGTGTGATATTAGTATACGTTCATTTTAAGGCAAGAAACGGAGGAAAGGAGAAGGAAGTACGCTCATAATGGGTATATAATACATGACGAAATTGACTCAAACTGCATGGTTTTTTTTAAAATTTCGAAAATTTTCTGGAGGCAGCCCCTCGGACCCCACTTTCACAACCCCCTCCCCCGTTCGGAGTGTCTGGATCCGCTTAAGCACTTGGGTTCCCTCATAGATCACATATTTCAGAGGCACCGCAATGCGATCCACCGTGTGAGGTCAAGTCACTTGCGGAAAAGAACGTTTAAATTCACCTAATAATTATCGATGACTAGAATGTTGAGTAATTGGTTTTGCAAAAATATTCTAATTTGCAAAAAGTTGTCCGCCAAAGTCCTCATCCCGATATTCATCAGTTATCTGGCGAATTTTATGCTTGACAAATTGGACTATATTTTGCAATTTGGAACTATAAATTCAAGCCCGATTTAAAAACAACGTTGGTGCCATTAGTTTCTCTATGCACATAAGTGTTTCTCCAGAAGAGCCAGAATATATAGTTCCAAATTGCAAAATACAGTACAATTGTTCATCAAGCAAATAACATTGATCTTCGAACTTAATTTTTGTCTCATTTGAGTACAGGGATTGTTAGTGCGAGGTCGCTGTCCGTATTTACGCCAAAAGGAACTATGTCTTACGGAAACTCTATGCACATAGTTCTTTTTAGCATAAACACGTCCATATATTTCCTCTGGCTGCCCTCCACGTCCACCTTCGATAACCGGTCCGCGCAAGTTGGGTACCTGATAGCCGTCCTAGACGTACACATATTCCTCGTTGATTTAAGCCCGTGTAAACCTAACTCGTAACTCACCTCGTGATTGCTTCCTCGCATTACCAGGACGTAGACTCGCGAATTCCGAAGGGCCGTCCGCTGCAATTAGCGTGTTGCTGCAGCAGCACTTGCTTCATTGTTGAGTAAACAAAAGAACCGATGGTTCGGGCCGTGGCGGATGGATGGGGGGTTGTTCGACGGTTACGGGGGAGGCGGGGGGAGGGGGCGCTGAACAATCAAATCGCGAGAGCGTATCATCATTGCTATCAACCGCAAGGAAAACACTCGCGCGAACACGAAGCGCCACTTGGCGCCAGTCAGCTCAAAAGCAAATAATATTCAATAATCACCAACAAAAACACAAGCAACCCTCCTCATCATTCATCGGAGTCTCGGCATCAACTCTCGCCCAGCGAGGTTGCCAAAAGCGTCGTAGTGCCGATGATAAGCGCGTTTAATTTGGAAATTTGGAACTTCTTCGTGCCATTGCCACACTTACACGGCAAAAATGGATTGCTGATTTTACAATGCAATTGTTAAAAAAAGTGACTGCAATGTTTCAAATGTACATTTTACAATAGTGGAAAGCTAATTTAACCACTGGGGTGGTTAAAGGAGCTTTTTTTGTTAATAAAGTAGCATTTTTTAGTTGTAAAATCTACGTTGAAATATTACAGTCACTTTTTTTAACTACAAAATGTTAAATCAGCAATTTAATTTTATTCAAGTACATGCTACTTGACAGTCTTGCGGGAAAATGGATGGTGCAATTGCGGCTGTGCTGTCTGTGCACACGCGCATTCGGCCATAATTTACAGTCGGGATGCAGGTGTGAAGGCGGCTTTAGAGATTCTCTCCGAAAAAAACCTAAAAGAAGGTTCTCCCCTGTTTTGTCTCTACAATCATCAACCTAAGTTTCCTTGATTTAAAATTTGTCCTGTTGTTCCAACATATATTCAAGTACCTACCCGCTGCTGGTCAGTTAAATTGTTGAAAAGTGTTACGATTATCTTCAGGGCACATTTAATAACTTGACGAGAAGAAAAACACATACATTGCCTTTTGAAATCCAAACTGACTTTCAAATTTTGGAACTCGAACCATAAAACTGGAAAAAAGTAAAGGAGAGAAACGAACCTGGATTGTCTCTTCTTTAAAAATTTGGAAACTTCCTTTTAAACATTCAGAAGTTTCACAATTCGACCAAACACCGTAGAGCTGGATTCTTACAATTAGCGCAACCTTAATGTCGAGCAGTTTTTGATGGCCCAGCATGAGCTAACCAAATAAAGTGCTTTTAGTATTCGGTTGCTGGGAGGTTGTTCGTTCGGTATCTACGAACGAATCGGATTACAACTTATGTGTACTTTTAAGAACCGACACACGATGGAGGCCAAGGTAAAAAGTCCTTCGATTTTCGAGTGCTGGGCAGTTCCGATCCGGGGCTAGGGCTGGTGGTAGCTGGAGGGGGGGAAGGGGGCGATTTTAAAAGGGCTTTAATCGGCTTGAGCGACCGATGCGATGGTGGAGTATGGATTCGTTAGAGCTTGGTTGGAGTGAACTTAGAGCGGATCCATTAGTGAGCCTAGCCCGAGAATAAGTTATGACCTTTGCCCCCCACCCTTTTCCCCATCCCCCTGTGGCACCTTTATTCAATTAACGGTTGGTCAGCTCTCATTCGCATTTGCAGAAATCAGTGTTAAAAACGGTGATGTGAGCTTCGGGATAGGCGAGCT